CTTCGTGGTCGGGATGCGGGCGGGCGCGGGCCCCGCGGCGGGGCTGCTGCGGGAGAGCCTGGTGCGGAGCCTCTTCCTGCTGGCCGGCGGCCCCACCGGCGCCCTCTTCAACGTCGTGGCGTTCTCCGGCCAGGCGAGGCGGGGAGCGGCGGGGGGGGCTCCTCTGAGGGCCGGCTGCCGTAGCGGGGAGGCAGGGGCGAGCTACGGGACGCCTAAGAGCAGAAATGCCCAACAGAGAGTCTCACGCCCGGCCCGTGTTAGCGAAGACCTGCACCTGAGAGGGGGCTTCTGTCGCTGATTTCTTTCTTTCTCCTTCTTTTCTTTGAATAGGTGTTAAAATGGCGCAACTGCCTAGTCAGGTGTTCTCTCAGCAGCGTCACTGAAGCAGCAGCCTGGATTCGATCCCTGCGGTTTGAGAATGGCACGAATGCTGCGAGCGGCTTGGCCGCAGCATTCGAGGACCCAGCCTGTCAGTCGGTGTGTCTGTTCACTGACATACTGCCAGAACAAGAGTCAGAGGAAATCTGCCAATTTCTTATGGAGAACAAGTTGCATCCGGTACACGTCATCTGCCTTCTGGGAGATTCGGATGATCATCAAAGAAGCAAGCAAAAAATAATGGAGAAAGTAGCCAGACAATCAGGGGGGTCCTTTCAAGCGATCAGACTCTCCCCTACTGCTTCTGAAATGGTATACCACTAATATAAGATTAACGCATACTAATTAGTTCCGACTGAATCTTTACTGGATGGCATTTCACAAAGTAGAATGCATTTTCAGCAACAGTTTACAGGGAATAGTGGCAAACTATTCAACCATTGTTTTTACTTAACACGCTATTAATGCAACACAAGTTTCTCTTTTTCCATAAAAGCCAAACACTTTAACATAAGGTTCATAGTTTTGACTCACCTCCCAACTCCCTTGCATTTTGTCTTTCTCCCTTCTCGTAGTCCCTGGCATATTGTTCCCTCGGTCATTGTTCTCAAACATTTCATGTTTTCCATCCTGCTCAGGCCAGATGGCTCCACTGCTGGGTTTGACCTGCAAAACCAACTTTGTCTTCCTAGACTCAATCCCAGCCTTCTTCATTCTTCCTTGACTTCAGCTCCTTTCATTAACTTTACAGCTCTTGCCTGCTTGGGGAGTTTGGATAGCTGCATAACAAGCAGGGTACGAGAGGAGGCAATGCTCACTGGCTGGCCATGGGCTACTGTTTGAGAGCCAAGGGCAGACTGACAGAGGAAGCCAGCAGGGCTGATATGCCTCCGTTGCTCCTGGGGGTGGGAGAGGCAGCTCTGGAACCCCCACCCTGCTTCCATTCTGCTGCCTGTTTCCAAGCTGTGCCTTGTCCTGAGAAATTGGTATATTTTCCAGGTTCAAAGCTCTTTACTAAAATCAATTAACTAAAAGGCATAATTAGTAAGAAAGGAAAACTGTTCTGATTTAAGAATCACACGCTCAGTGCTTCCTTCACAGTAGAATAAAACGATGATAGGATCTGAGATGGGCCAAAATGGTACCTACTATAGCTTTGTGTAGCCTTGAAATGACACATTGTCCTTTGAAGAACACAACTCATTTTGATTGAAGAAACAGGGGTACACCTGCTACATACCTAGCAGCTGAATAGAAGGCAGGTGAAGTACAAGGGGTTTTTTATCATCTAGTTCTTATATTTTATTTTTTTATATTTCTTCTTTCCAAGCTTGATTTCTTAAAATCAAACCATTTGTGATGAGCTTACAGATAAACAGCATAGCACCACAAGATACAATGGAAGAATTAAAACAAAGAGAGAAGGAATATACTGGAAAGTAAATTTCAATTTTATAAATAATATTCCTTTTTAAGGATTTAAGTGTTCAATAAATCATGTTCACCTTCTGCTTCCATCTCCTCCTTCCCCCCTCCAGGTAAGCTCAATGTCCATCTCGCATGTCCAGTGTTGTCACACAGCTAATAAAGATCCCTGTGGCTCTCTGCTGCCAAGATGTCCAGGAATACAGTAAGTTCAAAATCTATAGACGGGTCGCTGGAAATGCAGAGAAGAAAAAAGCTAGGAAATAAAGACAGTTATTGCAGAGTGGGGTGGGTGTCCCATGTGGATTTGGTTTCTTTTCATTGCAGCAAGTTGCAGAAGTTCTGTTGCCAGGGTATTCAGTACTTCTTATATTTTGGACTTCCACAGCTTTCCTGTTTGTGCATGGAACCCAGATTCCCTTTGTATGCCCTTGATATCCTTGGCAAAAAGGAATTTCATTGATTCATCCCCAGAGGCTTCCACTTTCATGAGGGGGGCTCGTGTGTTGGCAAGGAGAGAAGCTGATGGCTATTACTACCTGGGCCACATTGCCCAAGAGGTGAAGGTAGCTATTTATCGGGAACTATGCTGCAAGAGAATCTGTGTGTCTTTTCCGTGTTCTTCCCATGCCTCAACAGTCCCATGCCCTTGCTGTGGGGTGGGTATCCTGTGATACAGTGCACTTCATAACCACTATTGTCTCCCTACATCCTATTTTCATCTGTTTCCTGATGATGACTGGCTGGTTACTGTGAGGAGTCCTACAAGCAAAAGCAGCCTGGAAATCAATCCATTTCAGTAGTTATAATAACTTGTTATTCAGAGGCAATCAAACAAAACAGGTCCCTTATCCCTATTGTCTACTTCCACCCAGTCTAAGCAGCAAAGTCAATTAGCTAAACAGCACAATAGTAATCCAAAATGTCTGCCTCCAGGGACCACCTCCTCCTTACCGAACTGAGAGCTTTCCCCGTTCTCTTCCATCTATGTTTCTGGGATTCGTGAGATGATTTTGAATGCCAGACAGAAAATCCCCCCTGCAGGCTTTGTTTAAAAATCCAGTTCATTTCACAGTTTGCAGGTTAGCTAAATAAATAGTGATGCTAGTATAGGTGAGGGTGGCTGTAAGCTCCAGTGTGGGGTGGAACAGATGGGGGCAGCTAAAGGCATGAGGGACATTAGCTGGAGTAGGAGCTGACAGCATTATTTGTGTAAGTGCACTTGTAGATCTGCAGAGAAGGCTGACATTTGGGTAATAGATCTGCCCCACACCCATTGCTGAAGGCTTAAATTAAAGCATTTACACTTATGACAGTTTGTGACAGTTTGTGACAGTTTACTGGTTTGTTACCCTTTTGATTACTATGTAATGAACTGCATCATACACCGCAGTTTCTTTTGGCTACTCTTTCTCTGATGGGAGGTTTTCCTGGTAAAGTTCTGCCTTAGCGTGCTAATTGTGTGCTTAATAAAATCTAAATCCAAAATGAAAGGAAGAGAAAGGTGGTTAGCCCCTTAAGCCCCAGCTTTTTAATTACTTTTGAAGCCCAATATGGGCACAGTACAGTGAAAAACCTGGTAGAAGAGGAAAGCTACACTCCCAGATCACATTCTGCTTCCTGGGATTTCTGCCACTTCCCTCTTAGCACTTGTGTTTGGCCGTTAATTGGACCCAGATGTCTGTCTTGCAAACCGCATGTTTTACTCTTGTAGGGCTCCAGGGAACGCTTTTTAATTCAGTTTGACAACAGTCGCAGTGTGAAAGGCAAGGTACAGCTTCGCATGCAGGAAACGCCTCTTTATGACATTCTCCACTACGAAGATGCCAGGCAAAAGCCTCTTGCTCCAGGAGACAGGGTCTTGGCACCATGGGAGGCTAGAGCTGAACGTTTTGGCCCAGGCACTGTGCTAAAGGTTATAGAGAACAAGGAGGCACGTTTAGGTATGGGATATTGGCTTTCTTAATAGTGCTAGACTCACCACGGTTGCAGGTTACTATACAGAAAAGAGAACAGTCTCAATCATGGAGAATTCCCCCCCTGCTGTTTGGGTTCTCTCATCATCTTTTTTTTTTTTTTTTTGTTGGCACTAAGCAGCCTTTTCTTTTTCAGTGCCAGAATTAATGCAGCTCCCAGAATTAGCTTTTGCTTTGTTCTGTGAGTGGAGACTTCCTAAAAAATTGGGGGGGGGGCGGGGTTGGCATCCTCCCAACACAAGGAGAAAAATATTCCAGGCCCTCATAAGTATTGACCTGATTATCTTAGTCTAGTTTCCAGCTTTTGCAGGGTAAAATCCTGGCTTGCTGTGATGAGTGAGAATTTTGCTATCTATCTGCTGTCTTTTATAGGAAGTTCAAAAGAAGGTCAAATTTGAAACCTGTAAAGAAAAAAATCATTGAAGTTGTTACAGAATTGTCTGAAACACAAGCTGTTACTTTTATCACCTGCTTTCTAAGAGATAAATCACACAGGATGACATGCTTCTGATACATTCTTTGCCTTTTTTTTTTTTTTTTTTTTTTTTTTTTTTTTAAATATGCACAGCACACAATGGAAGGGGAGTGCTTGTGAATTTCTGGAATGGGCAGACTAAGGAGGTGTCTTCTGACCAAGCTCTGCGGATCCCTCTGCCCTTAAGCGAACGCATCATCCTAGAACTGCAGATGCCTTTAGCAGCCAGGCAGATGGTGGTAGATTCAAGCTTGGATTACCCATACATCGTGACACCGGGTTATAGAGCCTCAGGCCATTACAGACAGGGTCACTCAGACCTGGACTACTGGCCAAGGGGTCTGTATTCGACTCAGCCATGTGCGAAGTGCAGCTGTAGGTGTAACTCACTTCCCCATTGCTGCCTTGCAGCCTGGGAACCCACACGGCCTACAGGGTGCAAAGTGCAGCAGAAAGATGCCTTCATCCCAGGAACGAGCTTGACTAAAGAAGAGCTCAGCAAGAAAATAGAAGAGCAACTGTCTGAAGTGAGTATTTCATCTTCAGAAAGTGTTTCCAGCGAGGAAGAGAAGAAGGAAAAGAAGAGATTGAAGATGGAAAATGTTCCAAAATATGTTCAGTCTTGTTTGGAAGAGGACAATGATGTTATAGAATCTAAGAAGGTAAAAAGTGCTTCACCTTCGCTCTTCTGCTAGCATGTGGTCTGCTATTTG